TTAATTTAACCCCCCCCCCCCCCCCCCCACACACACACACACACATGAATTTTTATTCGGTTCGGTCACCTGATGTAGCTCTACATTCGGAATGCAGTAAACAGGTGCCACGTAGCAGCCCGTTTACCTGGAATGACCCGACGTTAACCCATCTTCTTTTGCACGTTTTTTAAAATATTTCGGGTCGGCCCATCTTTGTGTATATGAATTGGGCGCAAAAAGAAAAAAAAAATATGCGGCTTCTTTACAAGTATAATAACCTTTTGATGTATTATTCCTAAGATGTTATACAGTCTTTATACCGCAGAAAAAGAAATCGTGAAGGGTTCGAGGAGATGGAATATAAGTGGTGATTACTTCCAATAAGTTTAACTAATAAATAAAATTAGCAAACGCAAGGTTAAAATAATGTTTACTAACCTAATGGAAACTTGAAATAAAAAGAAAATGTTGATTAAGGCTGGGGCAAAGATCATTCTTCTGGGCTAACAATTATTATGTCAGGTGATCGGACGTAGCTCCACGTTCAGACGCCAATAATATATCGTCACGTGTTCTCACTCTTTACCGTGCGGCCCGATAACCTGACCCGGACCGGAACCCAGGATTGCTATGTTCGCGTATTGCTCGGTATTGGTAGGTATTGTTTGGTATTGCTAGGTATTGCTTGACAATAACGAGAAATAACGCTCTGTGAAAATCAATATCGAGCAATACAAAGCAATACCGAGTTTTTAGCAAAACTCAGTATTGCTTGGTTTTGGTCTTCACATAATGGTATTTCTTATTATTATCGAGCAAAATCGACCAATACCTAGCAATACTGAGTAATACCGAGCAATATCGAGTTTTTAGCAAAACTCGATATTTCTCGGTATTGGTCTTTACATAATGGTATTTCTCGTTATTATCGAGCAATACCGAGCAATACCTAACAATACGCGAACATAGCAATCCAGGGGCCGTTCCGGGTCGGGTTGACAGGCCACACGATAAAAAGTAAAAACATATTGCACTATTTTAGTGACGTCCGAACGTAGAGCTACATCAGGTCACCAGACAAATAAAAGTTCCTTGGTGTGTGTGTGTTAGAGATAGAGATAGAGAGAGATGAGAGTGCAAATTATGCTCAAAGTATTGCAAAAATAAGATAAGATCCAAAAGGTAAAAAATGTGCTTTTATACTTTTTTTATAAAATTTTGAGGATAATATGGAACGCTGCTCCATAAAAATAAAATTGTAAAAAAGTGCAATGCTAGCAATCCAATCTTAGATTTATTAGCATATTGTTTCGATACATTCATCTCAACTAGGATACACGTGCATTATAATTTATTTTTGCTACCTTTCATGTTATTCATTTGAAGAGGTTTGTCAAATATCTTTCTAATGGCGCTTCCGGTTAGTAAAATATAGTCTTAATCAAGCAAGACAATCCAAATGAGAACCACCTAAGACACATGACCAACTATTTTAATGTATTTTAACATTCTTGATGATACGACAAATATAACTATTTTAATTTAACACCCCCCCCCCCCTTTAACCCCCCCCCCCCCCCCCCCACACACACACACACACATGAATTTTTATTCGGTTCGGTCACCTGATGTAGCTCTACATTCGGAATGCAGTAAACAGGTGCCACGTAGCAGCCCGTTTACCCGGAATGACCCGACGTTAACCCATCTTCTTTTGCACATTTTTAAAAATATTTCGGGTCGGCCCGTCTTTGTGTATATGAATTGGGCGCGAAAAGAAAAAAAATATGCGGCTTCTTTACAAGTATAATAACCTTTTGATGTATTATTCATAAGATGTTATATAGTCTTTATACCGCAGAAAAAGAAATCGTGAAGGGTTCGAGGGGATGGAATATAAGTGGTGATTACTTCCAATAAGTTTAACTAATAAATAAAATTAGCAAACGCAAGGTTAAAATAATGTTTACTAACCCAATGGAAACTTGAAATAAAAAGAAAAGGTTAATTAAGGCCGGGGCAAAGATCATTCTTCTGGGCTAATAAATGAGAAAACGCATCAATGTGATTATTATCAAGATCATATGGTAGTAATAACTCATCCAATTAGTTTCTATAAATAATTGAATTCCCAAATTCGAAAACAGTATCGCCCCTAAATAATTCAATAAACATTATTTAAAAAAGAAGACTACAAAATAACATAGTACTCGGTATTGCAGGGTATTACTCGGTACTATTCGGTATAATACATAAATACAACTGTAAATGTAATATACCTAGTATGATTGATATAGTACCGAGTATATTTCACATTATACCGAGTAGTACCGAGCAGTTTTTAATATCGAGTAAATTTTACTTAGTGTCGGTATTGCTCGTATTGCTCAGTATTGTATGGTATTGTTCAGTATAAGGCACAGAATCAGTAATTAATGTAATATACTGACCAGTACTGAGCATTTTTCATATAGTACCGAGCAACATTTCTCGGTATTATAGGCCGCAACTCCTTGTAAATACTTTACTCACTTATCCTTGAAATGTTTCAAGTTATTATCGATGAATATCCGTTTATCTTCACTTATTAAAGATCGCCCAGGGTAATCTAATGCTTCAGGTGAAGGTCGTAATTCTTTTTTTTTTTTTTTGAATCATCAACCTCATGAACGATGTTAGAAACATCAGGTCTGGTGGTAGATTCAGTCATTGATGCTTTTGTTGGTTTTTCATCTTTCTAACTAATCTTAGCAGCAGGATCAGATGCAGGAGCAGGTGCAGGAGCATTTGTTGGAATTAGCTTAATCTTCTTCTCCTTAGAGGCCAATTTTTCTTTCTTTTTTTTCTTCCTATCACCAATTGTAAAAGGTGTAGATACAAGTTTTCTCTTTCTATCATTTCTCACCCGAACTCTTCTTGCAATGCCAGTTTGAAAGAATGAATCAAATTCCTCATCCTCACTCAACCTGGCATCCTTATCCACTATTTTCTCTTCTAGCTTTTCTGCCACATCCTGCCTTTCCAA